AGTAACTACGTCAAACTCTATTGTTTACAGTTATAATAATTACCGATATTTAGCCGTATCAAGCTTTATATAATTATATTTCTTTATGAAATAAATTGCTTTTGTTACATTTGTTTATATTAATTATAACACGCAATTGCATTATTGCATAACTTTCAGCTGTAATTCTGTTGCTCGTACGGTAGTGAAATTGTCATTCAAGTCCCGCCCACAACAAACATGGCCGTCTATTACATCGTGTTAAATTCGTGAGTAATTGTCTGTGATAAATGAATCGGTTTTGATGATAAACAAATTAAATAATACCTGTAGAAATAATATATCATGATCAGCTACTCACAACTTAAATCCTGACTACCGGTAAAAGAGAAACAACAATTCCAGTTTACTCCAAGTTATGCAAACAACTGACAATCAAACGATAGCGTCTGTTGCCCCGCCCACTCCACGCATCATGACAATACCCAGATTGTAGCCATTTAGATCTATCAGTAAAATAATACAATAGCATTTTTAATACCAATCAAAAAAACAATGATTTTGTCAACTACAAACAACTTCATAAAGAAAACGGTAACAACTCACTGGTAGATAATTAACTATACCGGTAAAATAATACAATAGCATTTTTAATACCAATCAAAGAAACAATGATTTTGTCAACTACAAACGACTTCATAAAGAAAACGATAACAACTCACTGGTAGATAATTAACTATACCGGTAAATTATAACAATGGGCCAATCACTGAATCCATGTTGAATGAAAACCGTCGGTAACTTAAAACGGTTACTAAAAGACAGTCTTGCTCAAAGAAAACACCCCGATGTATATAAAACACCAGTGAACATTCCATCATTCTTAAAAATTATTTATTCAGAATGGCTACGAGACGAACCGCTTATACCGCTAAGGAGAAGTTGAGGGTAATTAGTTACGCTGAAGCACACGGTAATAGGGCCGCGGGTCGTGAATTTAGTTTGGGGGAGTCAAACGTGAGACGTTTTGTTTTTCTTATATCCATATTTTATTATATCTATACTGTGCCTATAACTATGCTGTGCTATACTAAAATATATTTTAGTCGATGGATTAAATTTGTTCTGTTCTTCGATATATTCTGCCAGTTTAACTGTAATCCCGCCCATTAACGCTATCATTGTAACAGACAATACCCATAGCCTATGGTATAATGAGCGTGTGCTCAATGGAAATTACCCTTCTAATAGCCAATGAAAACTCTTTGTCTGTCGTAAGCCCCGCCTTTTCGTCAACTTGACTGATATCACCGTTGACGACACACTGTTTGGATTGCCGACAGTGGCTAACTGTACCGGTAAACGGATTAGCAGAAATATATGTCATCAAATACGCAGGAATAATAGAAATATTAACGAGAATTTTGCAGATATTGTTAGCACTGTCGTTTATGACTAACGGTATACAGAAAAGCCGGAATAATAGAAATATGACTAACGGTATACGGAAAAGCCGATACCGTATCTTAAATGGCCGCCATATTTATTGCACGAAAAAAGACGACATCGGAATGTCGGAATAGCAGAAAAATATGTCATCTAACTATTTACGATATCTTTGCAGATATTTTAATAACACTAAACCGCTATTGACCCATATTGTTGCCACTGTCGTCTATGACTAACGGTATACGGGATATCGGTATGGGAAATGGCCGCCATCTTTATTGCTGTTGTCGATATGATCAACTTCAGACCTCGATGTTGACACACAGAAAAGCCAAGATTTGCTTAATACAATGTATAAGGCGCACCCCTTCAAGAAAATAAAATACCTGGTAAAAAAAGTGCGCCTTATACACCGAAAAATACGGTACAAGGATAAACCCTACTGACCATACATAAGGATAACCCACATTGACCAGTTAATGTTGATTTAATTTCATGATTTGTGACCTCCAAATGCTGCAGTTTCAGATACGTTCATATTGTTTTAGTCAGAACCATATTAAAATACAGTCTTGTTTTAGTCAGAACCATATTAAAATACAGTCTATCAATAAAATCTTTATTCAAAAAGAGACGACCTGATTAATCTACTGAGGAGGGGATATGTATTTCCGGGATTCATTTCATTTCAAACTTTCGACCATTGAACACCAAATGTATCTAGATATATAGATGTTGATATAGCTCAGTAGGTTGTAGGTTGTCAATAATTATTCTCAGTCTGGCATTGTAGTTATTTGATATTGTACTTCTATAACATTTCCAAATCCCGAACCTCTCCTGTTACCCAATGTTTGTTTTATTTTCAGAAATCCGGGTATCCATTATAGGAAAGACAGGGGTTGGTAAGAGCGCACTAGGGAATGCGCTGTTACAACACAATATCTTTAAATCACAACAACAGACTTCCTCTGTAACATCAGAATGTGGTTCAGGACAACGACATCTTCAATTAAATGGTGTAGATACCTTACTAAAAGTTGTGGATACACCAGGTTTGTTTGACACGGGTAACAGTAACAAAACAATAGCCAGGGAAATCGTTAAATGTATTAATATTTTATCACCAGGGCCCCATTTATTTATTATGGTATTCAGAATTGACTCAAGGCTCTCACAAGAGGACATAAAAGTTCTTGAATACTTTAAAAATACCTTTGGTGAAATGATTGATAAATTTGCCGTTGTGGTGTTTACTGGGAAAGATCTACTGGTTGATCGAAGTGAAGATGGTGCTATAGACGAATTTCATACTCATTTGTCAACATTTAGTGATGTTTTTAAACACTGCCCATCCGCAACGATCAATAACGGAAGGAAAGATAAAACAGAAGGAAAGACGAAGGATGTTGATAGAATCTTACAATTACTTCAGACAACTATACAGAAAAATGGTGGGGCATTTTATAAAAACGAAATGTACGAAGAGGCGAAGAAGTTGTTTGAAGACCAAGAAGTAGTCAATCAAAACAGATTGGCCGAAATAGCTAAACTGACGAAGCAAATTGAACAATTGAAACAACGGGAAGAGGAACAAAAACAACGCGAAGAACAACAAAAACAACGAGAAGAGGAACACAAACAACGGGAAAACAATTTGAGAAATTGGGAGCTAGCACTGAAACACAAAGAAGATGAACTTTCTTACACAGAACAAGCCACCACATCAGCATATCAATACGGTATGTTATTTACTATCATCATCATCCTCAGACATGATATTAACACCATATCAATACGGTACGTTATTTACTATCATCATCACCCTCAGACATGATACTAACATCATATCAATACGGTACGTTATTTACTATCATCATCACCCTCAGACATGATACTAACATCATATCAATACGGTACGTTATTTACTATCATCATCACCCTCAGACATGATATTAACACCATATTGTTATGTGTCTAGTAATATATGTTGTTATTTAAATCAGTGCGGGTATAGATGTATGATAATATTGTTATGTGTCTAGTAATATATGTTGTTATGTAAATCAGTGCGTGTATAGAAGTATGATAATATTGTTTTTTACTCGTTACCTTGACCTGAATTTTACATCATATTCATCTGATTTCATTATGTTATATAGTTGTCATCACATTCATCTGATTTCATTATGTTATATAGTTGTCATCACAGGGAAATAAGTTGCATAAAATTCTTGTTACTCTCGTGTTTGTGTTAATAAAGTGGAGTCAACTGCAATACGTCATATCCGGTAGTAAATCAATTGTAATTATAGATTTGGTTTGATGCTTTGCAAAAGTCCGTTTCATTATATGGCACGAAGCATAATGACCTGTAAGAAATCCTTTAGTTGAATTTTAATTTGTCAATGGTGATCATCATTATTTTAATGTCTTATAAACAAAAACTTGCTATAATAATATTATTGTCAATGATACAAATTATTACAGCCACAGGTATAATATCGTCGTGTTTATTGTTTCAGTTGAATACCAAGAGAGTCCACCTCGTGCCAAGAGGAGAAAGTTTATATCTAGAAGAGAGGCGAGGATGATGTCACCTGAAGATAACAGTAGGATAATATCTAACTATTATAACTCTATAATTATTTATGTAATCTTGTAATTAGTTCTTGTCCATGGCTTATTTGAAGAATTTAACGAAAATAATGGGAATAATTTTGAGCCTGAATGCCAACCTTTTCTGAAACCACGTGACTGTGAGAGGATGAACATTACTGATTTTCAGCCAAATTGAGGGCAATTATTGAGTGAACAAAAGACTGGATGAAATGGGATTTAACGCCTTACATGTCTGAGCAAATAAAATCTGGTATACACCACGTAGCGTGCTATGAAATATTTATGTTACTTTGTAAGACCTACGGATACCTAAACGTCGTCTCATTGTCACTGTGCAAATAGTTCTGTTATTGATAATCTCTGTGCAATGTAGAGAGATATCATTTTGCCCAGACAGCGATGGCTCTGCCAACTTTCATTAGAGGTTTCATCTCTGGAATCTATTTTACTACACACCTTTATCATCTCTCTCTCTCCCTCTAAGAAAAAAAATAATGTTATTTTTCAATATTTTTTAAATTCAGATACTGTAATACTGCACCATACAGATCAGAGATATGGAGAAATGTCTGGTTCGTCCCAAGGGAATCAGTTCATGATTAGAGAAATGGCGGATAGACGTCACTATGATGTATCACATTCAGGAGTCGGCAACAGATCAGAGATACACGAGGAATATGGTGAGGTTGATATTCTGAAAGTTGAGGTTAAGAAGGCACACAGCACAAATAGTCGAATGGTCTAAACTGGTGCTCTTTAGATCATACAGGTCTGGCATTGAGTCAACATACGTGGTTTAAATTTTCAGCTTGTACGTTACTAGGAGTAGGGTTCGCAACTACAAGCATATTATGGATATAAAATAAAACCATATGTTAGTCCCAAATTGACCTGTTTTTTTTTCTGGTATGTTTCACCTTTAATAAATGACCATTTATATTTTAATTTAGGTGACCTGCCACACCACAGGGTCATTTTAACGGCAAACAGCGAATTACTACGAACTACACTTGCGGACGAGATTGAAACTGTGGCACGCAAATTACATGAACGTTTTGTTGTTCATGATTATCAATTGACCAGCATATTAAACGCAGTCGCTAAACAACCAAAGGATGGTGTATCCGAATTAATAAGAATACTAAAAGGCAACCCGAAACATTTTGATGCATTTATCCAATGTTTGATAGACCTGGAATATAAAGGATTGGCTGAGAAGCTCACAGGTATGTACATTTATTACTGGTCTCAGTGGTTGTATGCGCATGAATTAATTTAGCATTGATTGGGGTGAGGGTTCCTCGGTATATATTTTAACACTTATTATTTTTTCAGCATGTCAGTTTCGATTTTGGGATTCCCTCATGGGTGTTTGATATTGGCATTGATCAATCAAAAGTAGAGAAAAGAAGCCATCACGGTTTCGAGTTAAAATGCGGATCTTCCGTTTGTCCTCAAATGTTATATAAATCATTAATTAGACCTTTATTCACATGTCAAGCATACAGTTTACCTCGTAATTCATTTTCGTCAAAGTAATATAATTTTATACGTTCACATTATAACTTTTATTGTCGTCGCACCGTCCGTCCACATTTTGTTTGTGGACACTCTACAGGTCAAAAAATTTTATCAGATTTTGACGAAACTTGAAATATAGGTTTATCTCCCAAAGATCTCGCCTCCCTTCGATATCGGCGTGTATTGGATCGTAACTTCATGGATTATAGCCCCTGATTGTACGAAAAATCGTGTCATTAGCTTGTGGACATAAATTGTTATGTCGGACCGTAACACCCTAGATTATAGCACCTTATTGTATTTTTTCTTTTAGCTTGTTTTCTGTCCATCTGGGCGCATCTTGCATGACAACGGTTTGTTAACAATTTGAGTGGGGTGTCATCTATACTAGAGAAGACTCAATAACCGTATCTATTGTTTTTACCAAACTCATTTCGTCTTGTTGAACTCATGCGCATTGTTCTTACACTCATTTCAATTATAAAACACAAGTCGTCATTAATATTCCTTATCAATCATAATCTTCAAACGTAGTATTCGTATAATTATTCATGTAATATTGTAATTAGTTCTCGTCTATGGCTTACATCTATATGAAGAATTTGACTTCCCACCTTTTCTGAAAACCATGTAACCGAGAGAGGCTGGGTGCTATTTTGTCTCAGTCAGAAGATTTCAAAATTTGGGGTAATTATTGAGTGAACAAAAGATTGAAGGAGATGTGATTTAACGTCTTTCATTTCTTCACCAACTCGGCAACCGCGTACTACGAGTGCCGAGATATGTTGTTTATATTATGTACACCACCGCCGCCAACACTGGAATCAACCAGTGCAATATTCACTCTGTGAATAGTACTGTTATTGATAATCACTGTGCAATGTAATATGGTAGAGGGGGGGGGGGGTCATTTCGTCCAGGCGGCGATATGTCGGCCAACTTTCGGCAAAGGTTTCACCCCGGTCTTTATTTTACTACATAACATTTGTCACGAATTATATTGACTTCAACAGTTTATGTAACTCTCTCTCCCTCTGTGGAAGCGTTCATTTAATACCTTTATTGGCAGGACGATCTAACATGTCTGGTAAGACAAATAATGGTAAAAGGAAATCTTCAGAAAGTCATTCCACTAGTAAGAATTCAATTTTCCAAGTAGAAACACGACCAACCCCTAGTACCAGTAGTAGTACAGATACTGGATCAGCTTTAGTTTCACAAACAGAAACTTTACATGGTAATATCAGAACAGGTAAATATATTTCAAACATAAACATTAAAATCTGGACAATCTTTATAAACAAATCCAGGAAGACTATAAGGATAAATCTTATATTGCCCAGTTATAAGAATACATCGTATTGACCAGGTACAAGGATATAAGGATAAAGTTGCCAATATTATTTCAATGTTCACGGTGCAAAATGCATATGTCCGCAGTTCTTCAAAATACGTATTCTAGTTTTACAATTTGCAATTTCCATTCCACCACAATACTAATGTCAAAGTGTTAAAATACAGAATACACTTTTCAATAATACTAAATACAGTATAATAGTTATTTTGCACATTACACTTCTCCATTCTGCATTTTGCATGATAGACAAATGCATAATAGAACTATCTAATTCAGATGATATTTAGACTAGCCTACTGTTGATGAAATTGAAGCAAAGTTGATCAAATAGTGTTAGGAGAAACCCAACGGGACCGTATACAAAGTAATATAATAATTATAACAACATGTATGAGATACAATACAATGAACACAGAGGCAAAATTTCACAAATTGCACTTTTAACCACTGAAAACTTGAGTCTGGCCCGACAAAACCCATTTAATTGTTGAATGGACAGTAAACCCCATTTCGATTAATTTTCATTCCACGCTACATGTATAAAATAAATACAATCTGATGGTGCAAAGGCATTAACCTATTCAAATCATGTAGTTCTAACTTGTCGGGCATAACACATTTCGTGTGGAATTTACTCCAGTTATTTTGGATGGGACGAGAGAAATTGAAAAAAGTAGGATGAACGGCAATTGTCCATGAGGGATGATATAACACTAACTTCTAAACTACCAGTATCTGATAAAACCACTTCGTTTTTGAGTTCATAACAATGAAAATAGAAACATTGAATAAATATTAGACTCACAAAAAAAACACATTTTATAGACTTGTTCCTCTTAAATATTAGAGTGGACGTTTTATGCCGTTGTCCACGTCCGTTCAGACGTCTGTTCTCATTTAGGTGGGTAGGAAGCTGGCTGGCTATCCTGGAGATCGCGTGTTCCATCCCTGCATTGACTGAGAGAGAGGTCATCGGGATTTTCCGGCGTGGTTTCCCCCATGTCGGTGGTGCAGGATGGATGGTCTGACAAGGACAGCTGTCTAGTCTAGAGATCAAATTGTTTCCTTATTTCTTTTATGAAACTGAGATTATATCTTCAACATTTCAGATGGTTGCGATTTTGGCACGTATCTGACCGTAACCTTGTGGATTATTGTCCGTGATTATAGTTTATGGAACCTCTGGAAATCATAATTATTATTCGATTTGAATTGACGTTCAAATATATGTTGATTACACAACAATCGTAGATGAGTTATGGCAACTTCCTGTTAAATGCCCCACCCCACCCACCCTTCTTTTACACAAATAGTAGAAAAGCATAATGATATTATATACAAAGGTGGTCCAATTATTGTCCAATTTCACTGTATATTAAAGATCAAACGATTTTAGATGACCCCCTGTCTTTTACATAAAATGTGTAACTAGGTTAGTGGGCGTTTTCTAGTGTAGGGAGCCGCGGTGAATCAATGAGTAAGACGTTGGCTCGCTAACCTGGAGGTTACATGTTCGAATTAGGTGTGGTTTTCTCTTGTCACTGGTGCTCGACAGGGTTGCTGGCAAGGGACAACATATAGTCGTCCTGATGGGACAAAAAACTGAGGTCCGGTTTACACATAGGCGTAAAATATAACTTTGCGGTTGGAATTCTATATGAGAGTAGGTGGTAACGCCCGTATCCGGGCAAAATCTCCCCCATAGAACACTGTATGGCATATTCCTTTCTTCATTATATAAGTCGTGGCAGAACAGTAAGGGACGGCAAACCCTATTTCGTTTCATTTCCAGTATGTTTAATTTTTTTTATATATATTATCGTGATTCGAGGTAATATTTTATGTAATTTGGGATATGTTATTGTAGTATTGTTTGATCTATGAAGGTTATTGTCGTATTAAAGATCATCTGGTCACATTATGGTCCAAATCTAATAAGATCATGCAACAGTGTGATATGCATGATGTCATTATGTATTCCATGACGTCGAGATCACCTTTACGTCATCCGTGGCAACCAGCAATGTTCGGTAACCATGCTCGGTATCTAAACGTACCAATTATACGACAGTGTTAAATTTTGACACGTTTTGTTATTTGTTTCGACCTGTTTATAAATGGCATTCATACCAACCTCTGTAGTCAGTGATTCCAATCCAACATTTATGTTACTTATTACATTTTAGTCTTATACATAATGTACCTCAATTAATATATTTCAGATATTACAACTTTATTGACACCAGGTCACCATTCACCAAAGCTAGAGTATTGTCTACAATCCACTTCTCAACATCAGGATCTAGAGTCTGGTCAACCATCAACATCATCGAGTCTAGATTCTAGTCATATTAATCAACGTAAAGATGATACAACACCAGTTAAAACATCACCTGTTTACAATGATGATAAAGTTGTAAGACCAGTAGATAAAGATATATTATTTAAAGTTTGTGAACGTGGTACATTAGACGAATTAAAATCTATTTTATCAGATAAAACAATTGATATAAATAGTACAGCCATGTTTGATTGTATTAGATCGGGTATTCAAACTGTGGAGAAATTAGAATTATTGATATCATATGGTGCTAAACTTGATGTTCAAAATATGTTTGGTTATAGTTTATTACATGAGGCGTGTGGGTATGGATGTGTAGAAACTGTTAAATTGTTGTTAAATACAGGTAGGATAGATATAGAGAGTAAGGGTTGGTGTGATAATACTCCAATACTTGTTCACGTAGACAACCTGTAGAAAAACTAGAATTATTGATATCATATGGTGCTAAACTTGATGTTAAAGATGGGGATAGTAATAGTTTATTACATGCAGCGTGTGAGTATGGATGTGTAGAAACTGTTGAATGGTTGTTAAATACAGGTAGGGTAGTTATAGAGAGTAAGAACAATGATGTTAGTACCCCAATACTTGGAGCTATACATTCACGTCAACAACCTGTAGAAAAACTAGAATTATTGATATCATATGGTGCTAAACTTGATGTTAAAGATGGGGATAGTAATAGTTTATTACATGTAGCGTGTGAGTATGGATGTGTAGAAACTGTTAAATGGTTGTTAAATACAGGTAGGGTAGTAGATATAGAGTGTAGGGATGTTTATGGTGAAACCCCAATACTTGTAGCTATAGGTTCCAATAAACAACCTGTTGAGAAACTAGAATTATTGATATCATATGGTGCTAAACTTGATGTTAAAGATAGGTATGGTGAATCTGATAGTTTATTACATATAGCGTGTTGGTATGGATGTGTAGAAACTGTTGAATTGTTGTTAAATACAGGTAGGGTAGATATAGAGAGTATGAACATTTTAAATGAAACCCCAATATTTGTAGCTATACGTTCATATGAACAACCTATAAAGAAACTAGAATTATTGATATCATATGGTGCTAAACTTGATGTTAAAGATGGGGATAGTAATAGTTTATTACATGTAGCGTGTGACTGTGTATGTGTAGAAACTGTTAAATTGTTGTTAAATACAGGTAGGGTAGATATAGAGAGTATGAATAATTATGGTAAAACCCCAATATTTACAGCTTTACTTTCAGATAAACAATCTGTAGAGAAACTACAGTTGTTGATATCATATGGTGCTAAACTTGATGTTAAAGATAAGTATGGTAATAGTTTATTACATAAAGCGTGTGAGTATGTATGTATAGAAACTGTTGAATTGTTGTTAAATACAGGTAGGGTAGATATAGAGAGAAAGGATGATGATGGTCTTACCCCAATACTTGTAGCTATACGTTCAGATAAACAACCTATAAAGAAACTAGAATTATTGATATCATATGGTGCTAAACTTGTTGTTAAAAATAGGTATGGTGATAGTTTATTACATGTAGCGTGTAAGTATGGATGTGTAGAAACTGTTAAATTGTTGTTAAATACAGGTAGGGTAGATATAGAGAGTAAGGATAATGATGATAAAACCCCAATACTTGTAGCTATGCGTTCACGTCAACAACCTGTAGAAAAACTAGAATTATTGATATCATATGGTGCTAAACTTGATGTTAAAGATAGGTATGGTGATAGTTTATTAATGTACATGTAGCGTGTTGGTATGGATGTGTAGAAACTGTTGAATTGTTGTTAAATACAGGTAGGGTAGATATAGAGAGTATGAACATTTTAAATGAAACCCCAATATTTAAAGCTATTATTTCCGATAAACAGCCTGTAGAAAAACTAGAATTATTGATATCATATGGTGCTAAACTTGATGTTAAAGATTGGTATGATAATAGTTTATGTCATGTAGCGTGTGAGTATGGATGTGTAGAAACTGTTAAATTGTTGTTAAATACAGGTAGGGTAGATATAGAGAGTATGAATAATTATGGTAAAACCCCAATATTTACAGCTTTACTTTCAGATAAACAATCTGTAGAGAAACTACAGTTGTTGATATCATATGGTGCTAAACTTGATGTTAAAGATAAGTATGGTAATAGTTTATTACATAAAGCGTGTGAGTATGTATGTATAGAAACTGTTGAATTGTTGTTAAATACAGGTAGGGTAGATATAGAGAGAAAGGATGATGATGGTCTTACCCCAATACTTGTAGCTATACGTTCAGATAAACAACCTATAAAGAAACTAGAATTATTGATATCATATGGTGCTAAACTTGTTGTTAAAAATAGGTATGGTGATAGTTTATTACATGTAGCGTGTAAGTATGGATGTGTAGAAACTGTTAAATTGTTGTTAAATACAGGTAGGGTAGATATAGAGAGTAAGGATAATGATGATAAAACCCCAATACTTGTAGCTATGCGTTCACGTCAACAACCTGTAGAAAAACTAGAATTATTGATATCATATGGTGCTAAACTTGATGTTAAAGATAGGTATGGTGATAGTTTATTAATGTACATGTAGCGTGTTGGTATGGATGTGTAGAAACTGTTGAATTGTTGTTAAATACAGGTAGGGTAGATATAGAGAGTATGAACATTTTAAATGAAACCCCAATATTTAAAGCTATTATTTCCGATAAACAGCCTGTAGAAAAACTAGAATTATTGATATCATATGGTGCTAAACTTGATGTTAAAGATTGGTATGATAATAGTTTATGTCATGTAGCGTGTGAGTATGGATGTGTAGAAACTGTTGAATTGTTAAATACAGGTAGGGTAGATATAGAGAGTAGGGATGATAATGAAACCCCAATATTTACAGCTATACGTTCAGATAAACAACCTATAAAGAAACTAGAATTATTGATATCATATGGTGCTAAACTTGATGTTAAAGATAAGGATGGTAATAGTTTATTACATTTAGCGTGTGAGGATGGATGTGTAGAAACTGTTGAATGGTTGTTAAATACAGGTAGGGTAGATATAGAGAGTAAGAACAATGATGGTAGTACCCCAATACTTGTAGCTATACGTTCATATAAACAACCTGTAGAGAAGATGCGAGTATTGGCAAATTTTGGTGCTAATCTTGATGTAAAATTTTCAAATCGTAATGCAGGTTACTGGTACCAGAATAGATATGATTATGCAGGTTATAGTCTACTGCATTACATATGCAGATATCATAAAGTAGAAGATGTTGAATTTTTGTTAAGTAAAAATATAGATATAGAGATAAAAAACAAAGCAAATGAATCTCCAATAATATCGGCCCTGCGTTCATCAAAACAATCAATACAAAAGGTCAAACTATTATTAGACAAGGTTGCTCAACTAGATCATTCCTCCAGTATACTTCACTATGCCTGTCAATATGGTAGTCTAGATTGTGTTAAATACTTTATTGATAAAGGTTTAGATATTGAAGGCAGGAATGATGAAAATGAAAGTCCTTTAATGTTAGCTATTAGTTCAACAATCCAGTCATTACCAAAGGTCAAGATGTTATTAGATGCAGGTGCTAAGCTAGATAGTTCACCGAATATACTTCACTATGCCTGTCAATATGGTAGTCTAGGGTGTGTAAAGTATTTTATAAACAAGAAAAGGTTAGATATAGAAAGCAGGGATGAAAATAATCGAACACCTCTGTTTTATTGTGTTTTGACAAAACGAATAAAATTTAAAAATAAAATAGATTTACTTCTGTCTAAAAATGTTGATAAAATGGTTAGAGATACAAATAATTTGAGTATATTACAATATGCTCGTCAACATGCTAGAAAAGCACGTGTACAATATCTTTTTAAAAATGGTTTTACTGATTATAGCTTATAGAAAACCGTAAATTATAAAATTATTTTTGAAACTACATCTATTGAGTGGCAAGGTACAGTCATTTGAATGAGACGTGCACGTAAAAGATCCCTGGAGAGTTGGAATTCTATAAAAGAGTAGGCTGTGTCGCCGCTGTCAGGGCAAAATCTCTCATAGCATAATGTATGACGTACGCCCGTCTTCATTAGCCCGGTCGGAGCAGATGAGTAGGACGTTAAACCCCATTTTATTTATAAATAATTCTATGTAAATGTACATACCAAAAATATCATACTTTCATAGGGGAGAGAGAGAAATGGGGTTTAAGGTCCACTCGACACAAACTAGGTCATTTCGGGACTAACATGTGGTTTAATTTTATTTACATAATTCGCTTGCGCGTAGGGATCTTTAGCAGTGGGAGGAAACCGGAGGACCCGGAGAAAACCCACGAGGTTGGACAGGCGACCCTACTCCTTGTCACGTACAACCGGGGATTCGAAACCACGCCAGTCGACTCAATGACAGACTTTATGATACAGCGCGCGCACGCTAACCATTCAGCCATCCAACCCCCCGTACTTTCATAGGTAAATCTTGTTTACGGTAAATTAAAAACTAGTCTCGAACACCATGACATTTAAACCACTGTTATATTTTAATATTGTATACCATATATATACATTGACCTGTATTATATACATTGACCTGTATTATAGACATGGACCTGTATATATATATATTCATATCACAGTTATTATTGGATTATTTATCATATATGGCATCTTGTTAAACCATGGATTGATTAACACCCTGTAAAATCAAGATCAAAACACTGCTGCGGCTGACCTGCAGACAGAATACCCATAAAACAATCAGAAAGACGATTTTGTAAACCTAGGCACCCTGATATAGTATTGGCATATGGGAAAAACCTTGTCAGCGATTTTCAAAACGTATGTATGTTGCCGCCCAGTCTTCAACTTTTGGGCTCAGTAGGCGGCACAGTTTGGCAGGTGCGCCTGGTCACCATGTTAAACGAGGCTCTGGTCTCCCATACATAAACGTTAATTTCGCTTACATTTCGATAATATTTGAGCCTGAATCTGTACAGATATTGAGATTGATATTAAACTATTAAAATACAATTGCTAGAAATACATTTACATGAAATAGTAATTCATAATCGT